AATAAAAAGTTAATTTTTGGCAAGAAATTCAATTGATTGTAATTTTGAATTTGACAGTTTTAGATTTGAAACTAATTTGAAACTGGTCTGATTTGACACTTGTTTTGACTTTGAAACTTGTTTCAACTTTCAAAACTGATTTGAAACTGATCTGATTCAACACTTTTTTTAACTTTGAAACTGATTCAATTGTTTCATCTTTACAAGAGATCTTGAAATAAAGAAAATTTTAAATATAAATATAAGATATTTTTACCAAGCTATGTCAATAAAAAAATTTAAATATCTCTTTAATAATAATATATATATATATATAAATCAAAATTCTTTTTATTTAAACATTAAAAATCACATTTTCTTTTCCTGATTCAAATATACCAATATATCTTAAAATGCCCAAACCTAATAAAAGACAAATTCACATTGCAAAACTAGCCCAAAACAAAAGACGAAGTAGTGATCCAACACATGTAGATAATGTCCCAAATACCAATGATGATGTTGAAATGAATTCAAATGAAGATCTGAGTTCTGAAACTGGATCTGAAGTTGAACCCGAAGTTGAATCTGAATCTGAATCTGACTCAAGTTCTGATGATGATAAACCCTGGGAGGATATGAATATGAATAAAATTGAAAATTTTACCATTGTAAATAACATTTCAATAAAAAGCAGGCCTTTTTATATGGGAAATTCAATCAGAACACAACAAAGACGTTCCAAAGTGTTGAGAGATGCAGCAATTGGATCTTCTAAAATTACTGATTTTTTCAATAGTCAAACTCCTAATAGATATCAATCTGTTGATGATGACAAAGGTGATGACTGGAAAAATAGAATAGATTCTGTTGAAGAGGCTCTTAGAAACCCTGATTTAGACAATGGTGCAAAGTCTAGATTAACAGCAATTGGGATGTATTTTAGAAATTTAGATGATGGTAAAAAAAAGGTTGAAGCAAGTGAGATAGTGGCAGTATCTCTAGGTTGGACAAAAAATTATAAAAGTAAATGTATTAGAGCGTGGGCCAAACAATGGATCAGAAATAATACTGTACCTACTTCAATGAGAGGAAAACATCCTAAAATACAAAGCCTATGGAATCATGAAGACATTGCTGCTCAAGTAGGAAGTTATATACGATCTAACAAATTTGATATAACACCCAAAAATTTATGTGAGCATGTTAATGGTACAATCTTGCCAAATATAGGTGTGGATAATGAAGATAAGAAAATATCTGAATCAACTGCAGCAAGATGGCTTAGAAGATTAGGATGGAAGTTTGGTACTTATAAAAAAGGGCTTTATTTTGATGGTCATGAGAGGGTTGATGTTGTAGAATATAGAGAAAAATTTTTAAATTTTATGAAAGAGCAATACGAACCTTATGCCCCTTACTTTGAAGGGAGTGATTTGGAAAATAGAATTGACCCAGTGTTAGAAGATGGTGTTAAGATGAGAATTTTAGTAACACATGACGAATCTATTTTTCATGCAAATGATGGAAAAGGTAAAGGTTGGATGCCATCAGGTGAACGACCTCTAATAAAGAAAGGCAAGGGAAGAGCAATACATGTTAGTGATTTTTTGACAGAAACAATTGGTAGATTACATCTCAATGAACAACATTCCCAATTACCTAAAGAAAGCCGTGAAATTCTTGAAACAGGATCAAATGTTTGGTGGACAACAGATAAATTAAAGGATCAAATAATAAATAAGGCAATACCAATATTTAATGCTACTCATCCAAATTGCACAGCTCTTTTTGCATTTGATAATGCAACTTCACATGCCGCCTTTGCCAGTGATGCTTTGGTTGCTTCTAAAATGAATTGGAATGATGGTGGAAGTCAGCCAACAATGAGAGATACCGTATTTGATGGTGTTGAACAAAAGATGGTTCATCCTGATGGAAAACAGAAGGGGATAAAAACAATATTAATAGAAAGAGGTCTATATAAGGATGGATTGAGAAAAGTATGTTCTGAATGTAAAACAAAAAAATTAAGAGATCAAAACAGAAAATTAGATTGTTGTGGCTTGAAAATATTAGAATTACAACCTGATTTTCAAGCACAAAAAGGAACTATCCAAGAAGAAATAGAAAAAAGAGGTCACATGGTAGTATTTTACCCCAAGTTCCATTGTGAACTAAATTTTATTGAGATGTATTGGGGTGCTGCTAAAAGATATACAAGAGAAAACTGTGACTACAGTTGGAGTGGACTAAAAAAAACAGTACCCTTGGCCTTGGATTCTATTTCTGTTTCATTAATAAGAAAATATGCACATAGATCCTTCAGGTACATGGATGCATATAGGAAAGGATTGTCTCTTGGTGATGCAGAATATGCTGTAAAGAAGTATCGTTCTCATAGAAGAATTCCTAATGATGCATTGTCATCAATTATTAATTAATGAATTATATATATAGTTGTTTATTTATTTATTTTGTACTGTAAGTTACCTTTAAATTCTTATTTTCTAAAATAAAATTTTCAATTCTTCCATTTGTTTATCTTTAATATATCCAGTAAAATTTGTAAAGTATAATCTATTGCAAGATCATTAATGAATCCTCTTCTTTTTTTTCAATATCAATCATGGGGCAGTAAATTATATATCTTGGTTAAAATAAGAATCAACTGTCTTGCATTGATCAAGAAATGCGCAAATGATGTAATTATTAATATAATAAATTATTTTGTAGACAAGTATATAAATATGAATTTTTAACAAAAAAATTTATTTGTGATATATATATACGTTTTAATTATATATCAATTATTATATTTATACAAAGGAATTAATGGCATTAATAGAATTTAATTACTTGTTTTAAAACTGGTTTAGTAAGGGTTTCCATTTTAATTGTCTATTTTTATCCCGTTACATTTGCATTAGCTTATTACTACAAAAGTAAAAAAACTCAAGATTGTTTATTTTTTTTTATTTTTTTTTTTAAAAAAGAAAAACTTTTTTAATGAATTCATTATTTTTATGAATTCATTTAATTATTTTATTATTTTTCTTTTTTTTGATTACTTGGACAACAACCAACGACAATGGCGATGATGACAACAACAACAAAAAAACATATGGAGTATAGGTGAGCTTACAGAATTCTGTCATCCTAGTCGAAACAAAAGGCAAATACTCATCACGAATGTGTCCCGGAGTGTATATGGAGGGAAGAAGCGCGGTATGACGGGGACTTAGCGTCTGTTTGCCTTCCATCCGAGCCTCTTTGATTAGGTAAGTATAGTATTCAACAATCAAAGAGAAGAGCTCGAGCAAAGTCTTATTCACGTGAAGGCCTGGTCTCATTCAAGTTTTCTTGTTTAAAGGTGGGAAATTAATTGAGGAACCATCTTTAAATCCAGTTGGCCAGTAATCCTTAGCGTGAAAAACCAGAGGATACTTTTAAGTAATTCTGACACCTATGATAAATATCAGAATTATAATTAAAAAATTTTTTAAACACTGAAATTTACTTCCCTATTTTACGGGAGTAATAAAATCATTTTCCCATTTACGGGGGTAATAAAATTACCTTCGCGTGTTTAAACACTGAAATTTACTTCCCTATTTTATGGGAGTAATAAAATCATTTTCCCATTTACGGGGGTAATAAAATTACCTTCGCGTGTTTAAATTTTCTGCATGGTCTTTGTTATTAAAAAACATGGGTGATGCAATTGTTTGTTATACCAAATTAAAAAAAAATAATGAAGAAGAAGGAACCATGGCTATGATTATTGCATTGCGGGTTTGGTATATTTTTACAATACATGAATTAATTAATTAATAAAAAATCTTTAATATAGTATTCAAGCAAAGGAAGTCAGAACGAACAATCATCTTAGATGCTCTTGTATTTCAAAATGGTGAATTTTATAAATTTAAAATTTTTTTGTTTTGTTAAATTTTAAATTTATATATAACTTAATATTAATATCATTATCATTACAATAATTCCGTCATTGATTTAATTCCACAAAACAAATTCAGTTCTGATGATTCTCACATGTTTTGCAAAATCCTTGATTTTCTTTGTGGAGGATTGGATGGTGTGTAACAAAAAATCTCCTGCAACTTATTGTGTGTGTGTGCTAATAAATCTTGAATAAAAAATTACATTATTTAAATTCATCATTGATTCATCATGATCTTAATGCTTCAACAATAAAGAATTTTGACATTCTTGTTTACTATTTTTATCACTTTTAAAAAAATTTGCATCTCGTGTACCATGTAAAAGTCATTCTACTCCAATATTGACCAGCCTATATGTGTTTCAAACTCAGACATTAAAGACAGTTCAAACACAATATTAATATTTAATATTATTTCATATTACAATTACACATATATATGTAAAATTTTTGTTCATTATTATTATGGTCTTTAATATAAATTTTATATGAATTGCTCTTTTTTTTTTTTTTTTTTTTTTTTTCTTCCTCACGTGAGGAAGCTAACGCTCCTGCGGAGGGCCTGAAGAGAGCTTCGCCCTCTTCAGAATTCCCGGGACCATGCATTTTCCACAAAGATGCTTTAAAAAAATGATTAATTATTATCATCTCTTTGTTCTATAATTGGTGTA